ACTTTCTTCATAATGGACCACTTTATTGTATACTGACTTTTTTCTGACTTCAGTTTCCAGACGTACTTGGACAGTTCGGTGTTGCTCTTGTATTCCTCATGTCGAAAAGACTTAGTGTGATTGCGGTATCTTGTTTTAAAATCGCCCGCCGTCATGCCAATGTATATTTTCTTTTCCTGGTTGTTGGCAGTGCTGGTTGTCACTTAAGCTTTGTATACGATGCTCTCAGTAAGACATTTTTTACCAAGTGGACAGTTGGCGGGCTTTTGGCAGTTGCACATTGGCGTGTCGTTTTTTGTAGGTGTTGGTATTACCGTTGGTATGGATGATTGTATTACCCTAGCAGTTGGCGTTCGTTTTGTGCTTCGGTTAAGTATTTTACGATTATGTTTGCGAATGAGATTTTTCATGTTTGTCATGCAACTGTAACTAACACGGACTGTGTGGCGGTTGACAAGTTTGTGCAGTTTGTTTGAGGGAGGAAAATGCTTGTCAATTAGGTTTAGGAATGTCTGTGTTACATTGGTCTTAACGTTCTTGCTATAAGGAGGGTTGTACCATGTAATGTTTCGTTGTCTGTTTCGTTTATCGGAGTTATTAGTGTTGTTTTGAGTTTGTGTGTACGTTAGGTTAACGTCAAAGTTGCTTTGCTTGAGAGCGTTTTTGTAAAGTGGTGCTGCTGCGTTGAATGTTTCTTCGTCACATGATAGTTTGTTAATGCGTTTGTTGACTGAGTGTGGAAGTTGTCGTGTGATGGAAGGTGGATGGTTTGATAATCTGTTTATGTACAGTGGTTCGTCATTAGGTTTTCGGTATGGTTTATATTTACCGTTTGATAGGTCAAGCGTCAGGTCAAGGAAGTTCACGCACTTGATGTTTGTCTGGGCGGTGATTCTGAGGCCAAAGCTCTCAAAAAGGGCAGCCAAGCCGTCGTCACGGTATAGGCCTACGTCTTTCCCAAAGCGTTTCTCGAGTGTGTTCAGAATGAAAAGTCCGACGAGTTCACAGACTTCAGCGCCATCGAAACTTCCCATGGTCACGTCAAACGTGGTGGTGTTGTTCTTCTTCGTCCAAGCTTGTTGGTTGTAAAAAAGAAGGGATTTGCGCGCGTGCTTCACAATGCGGATATCGCTGTCGGAAATTGCGATGAATTGTTGGCTCCATGCGATTGCACGGTCGAGTAGACTTTCACTTATGGACGGGTAAAATTCGACTATATCGAAAGATAGAAAAGACAGTCTGTCCTTGTTAGTTAGTGAGTCAAACCAAGTGATTGTGTCCTCAGAGTTTCTCCACTGGTTTGCGCAAGTTTGTCGGCGGATTTCAGCATTGATTTTGTCCAAGATGGTTTTGCTAACTTTGCCGAGATCAGATTTCGCCGGGTTTATCAATCGGCACTTTGGATGGTTTTCGAAGCCGTCCTTGTGATCTTGTAGTGAAATAAACGCCGGCGGTTGGGTTGCTGGTTCCATGCGGTTTCCGATGTTTAATTCGTTGGCGATATTTTTAAGTTCGTGGTTAATTTTGTCAACTGTTCCGTCTTGTGCCAATTTGTAGATTTTGGTGATGTTCTCAGTCAACAATTTGTTGTATTTGTCCGCGTGCATTTCATACATGTTGTGTGTCTTGTCAGCAAAGATGAAGACATTTTGAGACGCTTCTATCTTTCGTTTGTCTTGCTCTAAGGTGTTCATGAATTCGTCGTTCACGTGTCGGAATTTGATGTTCTCTGTCATATGTATAATGTCGTCTTCGAAGCGTTTCAGCTCGGGCACAGCCGGTGGTGATTGTTTTGATTTCAAACCGAACGTGGGAGTCTTTTCACGCTTGCCGCGATTTTAAAACAAGATACCGCAATCACATTAAGTCTTTCCGACATGAGGAATACAAGAGCAACACCGAACTGTCCAAGTACGTCTGGAAACTGAAGTCAGAAAAAAGTCAGTATACAATAAAGTGGTCCATTATGAAGAAAGTCAAAGCATACAAACCAGGATCTAAACGGTGTAATTTATGCCTCGAGGAGAAACTACTTATTATGAAAGCGAAGAAAACTGAGTGCCTGAACAAACGCTCTGACTTGTTTTCCAAATGTAGACATGTAACCAGATACCTGCTTAATCAAGTTGTAAAATGATAACCTATATTTATTATGAATATTGAATAATATCTGTCAGTTGCATGATGATCGCGTAAAGCGTGAAACTCAGAGTAGCGACGCAAACATTCAAACCTTGACTGAATTAATTCCGCTCTACTTATTATGGTATTGAGCGCTCTTCTACCTTACGTCAACTCATCGACTATTTTTTTGAAAATAGTCTTCAGTACATATATATATATATATATATATATATATATATATATATATATATATATATATATATATATATATATATATATATATATATATATATATATCTTTTGGAAGCTAAAAGTAAAGCTTGGACGGTTGAAACTGGTTAAAAATTTATTTTAAAAATATTAAAATATCGGAAGACGTTTCGGTCAAACAACTAAGACCTTCGTCGGTTCTACTAAAACGTGAAACTACGTCTATACTAGAAAATACATGCATGCAGAAACCCTCGCCTTGCTCACAAAACCATTGCAATTTCCGAACATGAAGTATCTAAAGTAGTTGTCATGGTAACACGATAATTTTTAAGAATATTCTTACAAATGAAGCATTGCCTAAAAATATCACTTTTAATTACAAAATTATCAATTTACCAACATATATATGTTAGGTATGTTATTATACGTAATATAAGCTTCAATTTAAGGTAAAATTCAACCACAAACGCTTCGCAAAACGTTCTAAAGTGTTCGTTATAAAACTAACTAAACTGCGTTTATTAATTAAATGGCTTTATCGATAAACTTTGAGTTTGCAATAAAATGATTTCAAATTCTCGCATGCAAATATTAACTTTGCTTTCTTTTTTATTTAAAAAATTCAATATAATAAAAAAGGGAATCAATATTAAAGATAGACTGAAATTATATACTGTCTTGTTTAGTTGTTTCATATTCGGCAAAGGCCGTCGGGTTTTAAAACCATTATAAAATCAATATTTAAAACAAACTTACCTTCGTTAAAATCGGCTCCCTTCTTTTAGCCGATTCTTTTGGAGTTTCTTTCTGAGAGAGCTTTTGAAATTTACAAAATCTTGCAAAAATGCGAGCAAAAATGAAATATATTTGCAAGAAAGTTATCAATCATCAAATAATGCAAACTTTAAATTGGACCAATCAGTGTTCGCTATTCATGACAGTCCGCCACATATTTTGAGATCAGTGAGGATGACCACCCACCGAAACATCGTTGGTGAGCCACGCCCGCGATATTTGATGAACTTTAGACTTCGCTAATGCTTTCGTTTCCCCAGGTGTAAATAGCCGGGGGGAATTAGTACCCTCGTACGGCGCTTCGCGCCGTCGACTCGGGGATTATATAGGTTACAAACAATTATGCTAAATTGCTACTAATTTGTTCAAGATAAAAATAAATATCCGGAATGTCATTAGGACCGTAGTAAAGTATGTTAATTGTTAAAACTGAAAACAATTATAATCTCAGTAGTGTCTTAACGAACACAATTATTATGTTAACTGGTATTGAACTATACAAGGCAATTGTAAATCTCAGGAATGTCGTTGTGATCATTTCCCGCATTATTGGCTGGTCTTAGAGAATGCTACGCTTCAAGGAACAACCTTTTGTCATGGTCTGGTTCACGATCTACAATTTTGGTATTTTCAAAATCCATTTTGTGAAGGTGGGTGTTTGTGTGTTGCGCTATTTTAGAATATTCATCGTCGTTTTTCACCGCGTTTTTGTGCTCTTTGATTCGAGTTTTCAGAGCTCTATCTGTTTGGCCAACGTAAACAAAATCACAATCTTGACAGTCAATGCTATAAACCACAGATCTTGGTTGATTTTGAAAATACCAAAATTGTCGATCGTGAACCAGACCATGACAAAATGTTGTTCCTTGAAGCGTGGCATTCTCTAAGACAAGCCAATGCGGGAAACGATCACAATGACATTCCTGAGATTTACAATTGCCTTGTATAGTTCAATACCAGCTAACATAATAATTGTGTTCGTTAAGACACTACTGAGATTATAATTGTTTTCAGTTTTAACAATTAACATACTTTAGTACGGTCCTAATGACATTCCGGATATTTATTTTTATCTTGAACATATTAGTAGCAATTTAGCATAATTGTTTGTAACCTATATAATATAGACGTAGTTTCACGTTTTAGTAGAACCGACGAAGGTCTTAGTTGTCTGACCGAAAGGTCTTCCGATATTTTAATATTTTTAAAATAAATTTTTAACCAGTTTCAACCGTCCAAGCTTTACTTTTAGCTTCCAAAAGATGTATATATATATATATATATATATATATATATATATATATATATATATATATATATTCTACTATACGAAGGAATATTCTACTATACGAGCCAAGGCATCTGTTTTCTAATAGCGGATTTGAAATTTTCTTTGACGGCAATGTTTTTGGTTTCTATGCTCAAGTTATTCCAGATGTCTATTGCTCTAGTTATGAATGCTCTAGGTAAGAACCGCTCTTCTTATACTCCGAATTCTTTAATAATAATTTATCTTCTTTACACCTTAATGAAAATCTCGTGTCGTGATAATGCGAGAATTCAAATGGGCGAATGTACATATAAACAGACAAGGTTCACAATTGTATATTGCTTTATGTAAAACCAAACTGTTCTTATATATATACGTTATTTCACCGTAAGCCAATTCAGCTTACTGTGAAGTTCTTTTCTGGTAATTTCGTGAATTTTACTGCTTACAATCAATCGGGCAACCTTATTTTGAAGAATCTGCAAAATATTTAAAGCTGATTGATTTGAGGCAGAGCCCAAACAGTGCTGCAGTAGCTGAGTTTAGGTAATAAGAGCTTTGGCGATTGATTTTAAAACGTTACTTGCTATATATTTACTCAGAATCTATATAATAGACCAAGTGATCTTGAACAGTTTTTTAGGAGAGACTCGCAATGAGGTTTGCATCTCAGAGTTTCATCCGCATGTACACCCAGTAATTTGACTGACGAAAGTTGATTAATACTTTTGTCCTTAATAGTTAAGATCAAAGGTTCCTCCTTTTTCAACTTTTGGCGACTACCAATAAGGATACTCTTAGATTTCTCTTCGTTTAGCACTAGGCGACTCTTATCAACCCAATTTTCAACATTTAGCAAATCTTGCAGATTTCGAGATATTAAGCTGGCAGTCTCTGCTGCTTGATGTGGAATGCTATCATCAGCGTACATGATAATATCAGAATTGGATAAGACAGATGGCAAGTCTCTAATAAATAGACTAAAAGGAAATGGACCAAGTTACTCTTGTTGGCTGAGAAAATTCACCATTTATGTGCACTGTCGAACTTCTACCAGTTAAATATGACTTGATCCAATTAAGAGCACCTTCAGAGAAATTGTAACATTGTAATCATGATCAACCGAATCAAAGGCAGCGCTAAAGTCAAGTAACGTAACACCAGTGAGCAGTCCGTTCTCCATATTTCTGAGGCAGTTATCTGTCAGTTGAATAAGAGCTGTCTCCGTACTGTGATTTTCTCTATATAAGCATGCTGATTCGAGTGGTCATGTTGGATTGTTTTCCCGCCGTGGCTGCTAAGTCCAGAATTACCCGCGCGCATATCACGCGTTCTGACGTCATTATGCATAAGGTCTATTATATTTCAATGTTGTAGAACAATGAAAAAAGTCAAAGACAACGACGAGATGTGCAGGAGCTGGTATGTCTAAAATAAAACTTTCATAATCTTGTAGTTTTTGTGTTCTGCGCAAGTAATATATTGTCTCGTCTCATTTGTGCATGATTATTGACCTCGTATTCCCTGATCGCATAGTTGCACTGAATAGCGCAACTCAGTGTTGCAGAAAATGAAGCCAGTTTAACAATGTTGGACAACAGATGTTCGCCATGATTAAGAGACAAAATGTACGTGGGGAAATACCGCGGGTGTCCACAAAAAAAACTATACACTGTTTGATTTAATTTCCTGCAACGTAAAAACTATAAAAGATATTCCACTGAAATAAGTTTCATTGTATTCCGATAGGGCCAACTTAGATTTTCATATATAACATTTAATTTTCCGTGCAATATTGACTGCGCTATTGATGTTTTAAAGTTTAACTATCATTTTTGAGAATGAAACGGCCTATTAAAAACACATTTACTTTACATTGTTGCAAGTGCATTCTCGCACGAACTTGTCAAACGTTGCTTTTATTTATTGTTAGCTTACTCGGGGCAGAACAGCATGCCATCGTCCCGGCTATCGCCTTCTTACCTCTTGAACTTTGTTTGTTTTACAGCGTCCTCGATACAAATCTGTACGAGGAACCTTTGAGAATAAAAATCTAAACGGCGATGAGGAATGAATTAACATCCCAAGCGATACCAAATATGCTTTCAAATAAACTCTCTTTTAACGTAAATTAGTACTTTATTGAATCAAACGGAAAACTTGCAACTAATTAGTCGGTGGAGCCACCTGTGGTGCCCACCGACTCTAGGTTTACCCTTTGGTAGACCACAAAATGGCGAATTACGTCATTTTTGGGGCAAAAATTACGTAATTCTTAAGAAATAAAAAATCAAGATGGCGACCATGGAATAGCGTACAAAAGTTCGCTATTGACTTGTAATCACGTTTTTGGTCCGGCGTGTCTTTTCTTTTGGGTTTTTTGAAAGAAATATATTAAGAATTCACTAAAAGTTATCGCCACGTTTCACTGTTATGTTATCGAGGAGGAAAGTGGATAATTTGTACATAATTTTATATATTTTTGGATCTACATAAATTAAACATAAAGTCAGACATCGCCTGCTTCTTTCGATGGTCTACATCCTATTCTTATTAAATAGCATTGAAGGATAAAGGTTCATTGGGACAAAATATTGTATTACCAAAAGCTGAAAAGGAGTAATTCAATTTCCTGATATCGTGTGGAGGTAATTTGAAAACTTTCTTGGCGCAATAACATATATTATTCTTCCAGTTGACCGCCTTTACACTGGACACTGGTATGTAGATTAGTAGATATGACTAAAGTTGCAGCGTTATTGCTACATGGTTTTACGTTGTCTGTAGACACAGGTAATTAGCTAGTCGCTTGGTAATCATGCGAAATACCTCTCCTCTCACGAGGCATTATTGTTTTAGACAGAAGTTATAATAATGCGTCTTTTTTCGAAGCGAAGAATATTCTTGCCTTCCTGCTTTCGACGCACTAACTACCTAGCCTAGCTAAGTTCGGTCTTAACTTGGCCGGTTGGTAACATAACACCACCCGATCTGTGTAATGACAACAGGATAAACGCTTATTTTAACACGTACCATATACTGTACTGTATACTATGTGACTATTAAAACAACATTGCTGCATGGTTGTACTACTTGTTTTAACTATTAGCTCTAACTGCCAGGCAAACTGCAAACTTCAAGAATCAATATTTTCGGAAAAACGAACACGCTCTTCTTTATATAGTGGTCTACTTGCAACTAAAGTTGCATATTTCCATCGTCCCTGCACTTTACGCTCCTAGGCCGTGAGATGAGGGTCGAAATATGCTTAGAAAACAGATTCCGTAGCACCCCTTGTGTAACTACATAATTTTTACATGATAGATTAGAACTTACTTAGTTGGAATCCACTTTCCCCCAAGCGAAATAGTTGCACAAATTGAACTTCAACCTCTCCAAAGTGCAGGCTTCTTCGAATTTTGAAATCCGTGAACCGCCATTGTTGTGTTGCAAATACGCATGCGCGTGACCACAAAACACTTGATGCGCACGCGCAGATTAGAAAAACTAATCTCAATCCAGGACTGGACAAACCTGGACAAGAAAAATATTATGAAATGTGCGAAAGCAGGGCTGAAATAAAACAAGATGACATCGAAGTGTTTTAAAAATATATGATATATTTATGGTCTGTGCATTTGAATGGAGTTCGCCAAACATTCTGAGGCCAGGAACACTTCCAAGCCAACATTACAATAATAACTTATTTTTAAAAAAATATGATTGATTTTTATACTACAACAATTACATAACGTTCGGAAGCAAATCTGTTTTTCACACTTTAAATATTATCACAATCCTAAACATTCAGGACCGTACACAGCGGGGAGGCAGGGGGGGGGGCAATTGCCCCCTTGAGAAAACTATATTTACGATTTTTAGAATGTCATTAATTATTCTTCGCATATTTGGGACTTTTTTCGGCATATAGACCTTATTGCCCCCTGGTGAAAAAATCCTGCGTACGGCCCTGAATTTATCATTTGGGGGGGGGGAGGAGGGGGGTGTTTCTAATATATACAAAGAATCTGTTTGCACTGGCTTGATTCTCTTTAAATATGCAAGATCGGGTACTGTGATTTTCAGTCAAATATCATAATTATCTTTCAAATACAATACTTTCATGCTTCACGATTTTATACATTAACTAGAAGTACATGCATGCAGCAACCCCTCGCATGTATTATCCAAACATTGATTTAACATGAAGTATTAGTAATTGATTAACAGTCTTAACACCACTGAGCTATACTATATTACTGGAGGACCAGCTCGGGATAAAAAAGTGTCCGCAAAAACATGGCGGATCTGACGCCATTGCCATGACTACTGGTCCCTAGATTGATGGCAACTACCACTGTTCCAACCGCGATCCTAAGCTTTCGACAATGTACTTCACCCCCCTGGTTTCAGCCCAAAAATTTTGTTTTTGAGGTAAAAATCTCATCGAAAATCTTGATATTTTTATCCCAGTTTGCTTGATTTACAACGCACACTGCCTTTTTGCGCCGCTAGTATGTATGAGAACTCTTCAAACAAGAACTAGAAGAATATTTTTATTAACCGGTAAGATTTTTATATTTGAATATTTCTAGATTCTAGCTTGCTTGATTAAACTCGATAGAAATACAAATTCCCGTAGGAAAAGTGGTTGGGAATTCTGTAATTTTATTGTTCTTGTGATTTACCACTAGCCTCTGTGTTTTCATATGGTTTTAAAGGCTGCTTATGGTGTCAAAATCCTTACTGTGCACTTATATTGATTTAGTACCACAGACTTCAGTATTATAGAGATATAAGCAAATTTTCCCTGACAAACTTTGAGTGATATATAACCTTGCCAGGTTCTTGTAGCAGTTATTTATAAGTTCATACTGTATAGTTATATTAAATGTCACTTCTACAACAGGCAAACTGAAAAATTGCTTTGCTAGGCCAAAGATATCAAGTTCAAACCATTCAAATGATTCAATACCCATTGCAATCAAGAAATAACCATAAACCTCTGAATATATAAGCCCCAATGACAGACCCCAAATATAAGCCCTCCTGTGTAGAACGGCCACCATAAGAAATTCTGAATATAAGCCCTCTCCCGAATTTAAGTCCCTCTGTGTTAGCGCATGGACTTATTTTTGGACAGGTATTTTTTAATGCAGCAAAGGGGTCCATTCCAACAGCTCAGCCCATGAAAAATGCTAATGAATGCATACAAGCATTCAGAGGTTTACATGGTATTCATCTGACCAACATAGTTTGTCAGACTTCTATAAATCCCACAGCCATTAGAGTTGTAGTTAAGTATTTGTAGGAATGAAGGGTGTGTATGTGCCAGCCAATGCATATTCACTGCCCTTCGCATTGACCAAAATTGTGCGCTGACAATTAACCAATCAAATTGATGATTGATAACATGTTTGAGAGCATCTTCAGTGGGAGTGTTCCCAGTATTGGAGTAGAGCCCAACTGTTCAGTTAGACATTATTTCTGAACTTTCTCTCTTAGATCTGCATAGATTATTTTTGATATATTCTAATATAAATGAAACTTTGGGATAGTTAAGAAATACAATTAATCCATTTATAATGGACAATTGTCGTCTTGACAAGTAAAATTTCCTGGCATATTAGACGGGCTTATAAATGGCAGAACCTATATATGTGAAAAATTACAGAGTGAGTCAATTTATTTGCCATACCATATTAATTAACTATTAGGTTGCATTGTGCCCTAATCAAAGGTTCCAACCCTCCCGATTTGATCGGGAGGCTCCCGATTTCTTGGCAAATCTCCCGATCTCCCGATTTATATTTAAACCTCCCGATTTTACGAATGAAAAGAAAAAATGTTACTTTTTCTAAAAGAATCCTTGTAAAAGCCGTTCGCGTGCGGTAAAAACGGTTGTCGGATCGACAAAAAAGCGGTATTTCA